CGATGGGCCAGTTCATAAGGAGGAATACAGGGAGATGAGGTTAGAGAAGGTTCAAGGCCACACCAGATCTTGCCTTCAATGCCCCAGATTTTGAGGGTGGTTGTGCCTCCCGTATAGACTGATAACACAGCTGAACATCAACCCGAGAGTGCTCATGCTGGATGGGAATGGGGAATGATAGAGAACCTTCAACAGCTATTTGCAAATGGTGGGCCTTTTGAGGGTTTCTGTGCTCAACACCAAGAAATATTCAGAAAATGGAAAAGCTGACTATATCTAGTTGGGGAAAGAAGACTGGTGTCTTCCACACAGTAGGTGCTCCATAAATGTGTGTTGGACAAGGGTATACAGAAAAGTGATATGTGGATACCATGAGGTGGTTTGGAAAAAAGCAGAGTTTTTGGAGCCAGCAGGCATAGGTTGGAGTCTCTCAGCTTTGCTGCTTCTCTGAGCCTCTATTTTCTCATCTGTAAAATCTCCATCTCAGAGGGTTGCAAGGAGACTAAAGATAACACATATCAAGTTCTGCAGCAGTGGACAGTCAGGATGCAGAGTCTGGCCCAAATGCATGAGCCTGACGAGAAGCACCACATGCTGGGAGGCAGGTGGGGAGGCTATGGGCTGGCAAGGTCAGGGAAGATTCTAGGGGAGGAGACTTGAACCTCACGGGAAGTAATGGCAGTGTTCCCATGGAAGGAGGGGGCAGTTCATCTGGCATAGATGGAGCAGCGGGGAGCTCCTCTTTTGTGATGAACTAGAAGTGAACTAAGTGGAGACAGACCCCGGAGGCTGCAGCAGACGCGTTTTGACCCACAAGAAGGTGATGACCCAGAACTGGGCCGAAGGGCAGAAGGAAGGCTCTGGACTAGACAAGTGGAGCTCATTCTTCAATCCAGCAGATGCCCTGTGTGCACACATTGGGGGAGGGAAGAAAGTAGTGTGGAGACCTACTATATGCCGGGTGTAGTATATGTGCCTGAGCACAGGGCATTGGGAGAATGGTGGAGACCTACTGTGTGCTGGGAGGTGTATACGTACCTGGGTGCAGGGCATTGGGAGAATGGTGGAGACCTACTGTGGACCAGGATATGTATATGTACCTGAGCACAGGGCATTGGGCTAGTGGTGGAGACCTACTGTGTGCTGGAAGCTGTATATGTACCTGAGTACAGGGCATTGGGAGAATGATGGAGACCTACTATGTGCTGGGTATGTATATGTACCTGAGCATAGGGCATTGGGATAATGGTGGAGACCTCCTGATGCTGGAAGCTGTAGATGTACCTGGGTGCAGGGCATTGGGAGAATGATGGCGATCTGTTGTGTGCCAGATATGTATATGTACCTGAGCATAGGGCATTGGGAGAATGGCAGAGACCTACTGTGTGCCAGGAGCTGTGTATGTACCTGAGCATAGGGCATTGGGAGAATGACACAAAGCACCCTAGAGCAGGGGCTATCGAAGCTGGTCCTTGAATTGATCCTGGGAAGAATTCCAGGAGAGGCCACAGTATAATTTTAAAAAACATTTGAAAGGTAATTTGATTTGGACCACAGGGAGCACTACCAAAAAAAGGCATTTATTTGAGTAGTAGTGGCATTGTCAGTGCATGGGTTCAGGCTTCCGGAGAAACATCCATCTTTCTGTTTTCTTTCTCAGTGCCTTTTAAGTCCTGAAGTATGAGGTGTGAGCATGCATTTTCACTTGGGCATGGTCAGAGAACAAAGCAGTGCTGTTATCTCCGAGTCACTTTGAGACATTCTAGGTGGAGACTGATCCCTGTATTTGCGGGATCTCCCATGTAGAGAGCATTTTTGATAATGTATCCCTTAGATTCATCTTTAGAGAGCATTATGTGTAAACCAGGTCTGTTTCCTCAGCTGTTATGGCATACAGAGAATTTTTTAAAACGGTTGAATCAAATGTGAAGGCAGATGGGTTGTTCTGATGAGGACTGGGAGATTCCAGTGTATTGGGGAAGGATCTGTCCAGCTGGAGCCTGAGTCTGTGTGCAGTGGGCCAGGGCAAGACCGGAGCCAGGCTTGGAGGGACCTAAGCAGTGACAGTGGGTGGACACGAGGCTGAATAGCTGACCTTTGTGTCTGCCTCAGGAGGAGACTGGTAGAAGGCGACCTCTGGGTGCAGTTTGGTGGGCTGCCCACAGGCCAGGAGCCCAGGACCCTCAGGGCAGGCCCATTCCCACCAAGACCATCTCCAAGTGGCCTGTGCTTGGTCCAGGGAAGGCAGGAAAACAGAATTCCAGACCCCAGTGTTGCCAGTTGCCTAGTCTCCCTTTTCAACTCTTCATCTAGTACACAGTAAACACAGGCCACCAAGGACAGCCCCTGAGAAGGTTCCCTCTGCCTTCATTTTCCTCGTGTCACCACCCATGGCTAGATGGAGGGTAGAAGCCCTTGGGTCAGGACAGCCTCACTCCAACCAAAGCACATGGGTTTATACTCTCCAAAGAAAGCAGGTCATTTCGATTCTAAGAGTCGTTCAAAAGCTGTTTTATTTCTTGCTCATGACAGATCACACCAAAAGGGTTTTCTTAAGTGTGCAGAGGAGATAGGTATTCACAATCAGGGAGGAATTCTTGAAAGCAAAGGCTTTGAAACTTTGGCCTAAAGGGAAGTTATTTTCCCCTGGAAGGCCCGAGTCACATCAAATAGACATGGTAGCAGAGAAAGCATGGGCTTTAGTTAGTCCTGGGGCCTTGGGTAAGTTGATTTAACTTCTCTGATCTTCAGTTTCCTCATTAGCAAAATGGTGTGAGAAGATCAGCCTTCAGAGGCTGGCTTGATAAACAAACAGAATCAAACCCATGAAAACTCCTGGTGCCACTCCATGGGAGACCCTGGGGGCTCTGCAGCACCTTGCATCCCCCCAACTGATTCCACAGTTGCCATCCAGTCACCCGAATTACATGGACAAACCAGGGGTGGGGAGACAGATTCATCCAGGACTCACTTATTGAGCACTTACTATGTGTTAGGCATGAAAATTTTAGAACAAAACAGACCTCATCTTTCTCCTCCTGGGAGTTTCCACCCAGCAAGGGAAACAGACAAAACAATTCACACACACACACACACACACACACACACACACACACAAAACCCCTTAAAATTGCACATTGTAATTAATGTAGTGAAGGAATTGAAACCTCTCTGTGAGGTAGGAGTGGGTTCTGTCTAGACAGATGGGCAGGGAAGACCTCTCTAGGAAGCAGGCGGCCATTCAGGGAAGGGAGAAAGTGATCCAAGCAGAAGGAACAGCATATGCCAAGGCCCTGAGGCTGGAGCGAGTTTGGCCTGTGGGCAGAACTATAAGGAGGAGGCCTTTGTAGCCAGGAAGAGTGGTGGGAGAGGAGGTTGGGCTTTGGTAAGTCAAGGTAAGGAGTTTTGATTTGAATTTTGTCTTAAGTACCAGAAGAAACTATTAAGCAAGCGAATGACATGATCTAATTCATAAAGGTATTTCTGGCCCCTCCTCTTGGAGGAGTTCAGAATTTTTCTCTGCTCTGACTCCTTCCTCGTGGCCCAATGTAGGCAGCCCAGGCGGTCTCAGGAAGGTCCCCCAGCCCTCCCACACAGGCTTGGGCTGAGTGGGGAGAGAGCTAGATGGGCTGTGTCTTGAGAGAGATGGACTTTGGAGGTGACCCCTTAGGTGGTATGTGCAAGAGCCCAGTCTGCCATCCTATAGCAACACCCATCCGTTCAATGCTCCTATCCTCCATCCTCTAGCTGACTGGAAGTCCTTGCAGTGAAGTAGGGAGATAGCAGGGGTGCCCTTACTGGAGCAGGTGGGGTGAATTTCTGTAGTTGCTGAGGTCCAAGCTATGAAGTCAAGCCAGCCTTCAATGAAGTGCTCACCCTGATTTAGAAGGAGGAGACCAGATCCAGGCCAGAAATCTTCATTCTATATTCCCTGCTCAGGGCAGAAATCCTAAGGACTGAGCCCAGAATGGCCTCTCTGTGTGGGGACCCACAGACTACCCCGGGTCTTCCAGAACCCTTGAGATAGCCACAGAAAGTGGTAAGGCCGCTCTGACCCTTCTCTGAGGACCAGTCAGGGGAGCTTGCAGCTTCTCTCTGTGAAGGACTGAGGCTCTGGAAGGACTGAGGCTGTTGGGCCCAGAAGCTGAGAAGAGAGGGACCCAATGATCCCTTAAGCTTCTGCCTTTCCCTGTTACCTAGCCCTGGGCTGAAGAGAGAGCCAAAGATACATCACATAGAGAGATTCACACTGCGCTGTCCTGGGAAGTGGAATTCAGGGCTCCCCTGGGATCGAGGTGCTAACGAAACACCTCCTGAACCTGACCTTGGAGTCCCAGCTATTGACGTCAACAAAGTTGAAGTGATGTAACCTGACTCTCCTCCCGGGGGCATGTGCAGGGACCTGGGGAGGGGAAGGAGTGGCCGGGAGACTGAGTAGTGGACAGATCTTAGGGCCAACCCAGCTTAGGCCTGGACGGGACTGGGTGGACGTCCCCTGGCATTGGTGTCACAGGAGAACTTAGTGGCAGGGGGCTTCCGGCGGGTGGGATGTGCTACTTGGGTGAGTGGCCCAAGTCCTTCCTGAAAGCATTTATCCGGCACTACAGCCATCATCAGGTAAGACAAAGAGCTTCTTCCGGACATGGGTGACAGCCATGAGGGTGAGCAGCAGCTCCGCCATGGTGGTGTGTTGCTGTCACATGGGGTTCACATGTGCGCGCATGTGTGCTCTCCTGTGCGTGAGCACATGATGCTCCACTGGGGACGAGGCTCAGCCTGGCCACCTCTAGAGATACAGAGGTCCTCCTGTGGCCACATTGGGGGGTCTGCATGGGTCTGGTTTCAGGGTCATAGGGGCAGCCTGACCTGTGGTTTCCTTCTCTCCTTATGACCCCTGCCCTGTGCAGATGCTGGGAGTTCCATGGGGGTGGCCTTTCCTCCCTGGGGTCTGCTATGGAGGTGCTGGGCAAGAGCTATAATTCTGCCTTTGGGTTTTCCAGGTGGACTTTCTGATTGAAAATGACGCCGAGAAGGATTATCTCTATGACGTGCTACGCATGTACCACCAGTAAGTGTGCTGGGCCCGGCTCCCCTGGGCCACCTGGGCCCCTTTGTCTTCAGAGGCCTGGGAAGGGTTGTTCTCAGACTGAGGAGCTCAGGAGATGGATGCCCAATGCTCCTGGGAGTCAAGTGGACATGCTATTCACTTGTTTCAGCAAATATTTACACAAATACTTGATCCTTGGCTCCATGCTAGGGACTAGGGTATACTTGTGAGCAAGACAGACTGGTCTCTGTCCTTGGGGTGCTCACAGTCAGATGGGGGGAGGCTGTCTAGTAGCCAGATAGGTTCAATAGAGTGTGATTGTTGGGATGGACCAGCAAATGCCCTGTGGCCCAGCCCCTGCACTGGCTGTCTCTGGTCACCTGTTGCTTTGGGGTTCATTCTGTATGCATCTATAAGCCCCTGCTACTTGCTGTGGAATCTGGAAGTGAATGTGATCTGCTTCCTTCCCTTGCATGACTCATGGCCTGGCGGGGGGAGATGGACAAACACTACAAACACAGGGAATACTCATACAAGTTACAATAAAGCACCTGCTAAGTAGAGGCAAAAGCAAGAAGGGGAAGAAACAGTTCTTGTTTCCAATTGCAAGGGAAAGGAGAGGACCAGGAAGGCTTGTCCCAGGCTTTGAAGGATGAGAAAGATTTTGACAATTGGAAGGGCATTCCAGGATGAGGGGTCTGCATCAGCAAAGGTGTGGAGGCATGAAGACACAGGGGAGAATGGGGAAGGATGAGTAACCCGAGGGGAGTGGACTTGGGGTACACTAAGGTCACAAATAGCCACCAGGCTGGAGAAGCAGCATAGAGATAGGTTATGAGGGCCGTGAGCAAGCTAAGAATGAGTTTTGTCTTCTGGGCAGTAGGGAACCATCGGAGGACTTTAAGCAGGGGCGGGACTTCCACTTAGAAAAGATTAGATGAGAGTGGGCAGATTGACAGGAGGTCTGGAAAGTGTGACGGAGGTGGCGTGTGCGAGATCTTGTGAGGGTCAGATCTACAGAGCTCAGCCATGGGTCACAGTGGAGGTGAGAGTAAGAGAGGCCCCGTCAGCATCTCACACAGAAGATTACTGTCTGGAAAGATCCAGGACTTCAGAACTCGGCAGTGCAGGGCTTGAAATCTTGCCTTGATTTCATCTACAAAATGGGTCAACAATCCCTAGTGGACTGGTGTCCCTGGGATACTTTTTTTTTTTTAAGTTGGAGTCTCACTCTGTTGCCCAGGCTGGAGTGCTGTGGCACACTCACAGCCACCCCAGCAGCGACCTGCTGGCTCCAGCAATCCTTCTGCCTCAGCCTTCCAAGTAGCTGGAACTCCAGGCGTGTGCTACCACGCTCAGCTAATTTTTTGATTTTTATTGTAGAGACAAGGCGTCACCATGTTGCCAGGTTGGTGTCAAACCCGTAGGCTCAGGCAATCCCCTCGCCTTGGCCTCCAAAAGTGCTGGGATTACAGGCTTGAACCACTGTGCCTAACCATCTCTGGGATACTTAACATGAGGGAACACGGTCCTCTGAGGCATTTGGCCCAGAGTCAGGGGCTCTGGGCTTTTTGGAGCATTTTCCTCAATTCCAAAGCCTGGGCCCAGTGGGTAGGGATCCAGGCTGGAACCGCTTCCTTTGGAAATCCCTAGGTCCTGGAACTCATGGCCAGGGGTGAGGTTCCAGGCGTCCCCGGTGTCTCCACAGGACCATGGACGTGGCCGTGCTTGTGGGAGACCTGAAGCTGGTCATCAATGAACCCAGTCGCCTACCTCTGTTTGATGCCATCCGGCCCCTGATCCCGCTAAAGCACCAGGTGGAATATGACCAGTTGACTCCCCGGCGCTCCAGGTACAGAGGGGGCCACCAGGCTGGAGGCGGGGTTGGGGGATGGAGTGCAGAGAGGCTACCCTGGGATGGACAGAGTCCTTCACCAGTGGATGAGGCAGTGCGGACAGCCAGGCCACAGCATCACCGACCTCTCCCGCTGGGGCAGGAAGCTGAAGGAGGTGCGCCTGGACCGGCTGCATCCAGAAGGCCTCGGCCTCAGCGTGCGTGGTGGCCTGGAGTTTGGCTGCGGGCTCTTCATCTCCCACCTCATCAAGGGCGGTCAGGCGGACAGCGTCGGGCTCCAGGTGAGCCAGTGGAGTCCCAGGGAGGGAGGCCAGGGCCTCAGACTTCCAGCTTCTTCCTCGCTCATCCACTAAGACTGCATAATCACCCACTTTTCAGTGCCTTTGGGAGAGGAAGAGGCTGAGGCACCCTGGCAGGTGTTCAAGGACCATAGAAATCAGGCCATGGGCAGCTGCTTGTTCTCTTTTCTTTTTTTTCCCCAACAGAGTTTCGCTCTGTTGCCTGGGCTGGTATGCAGTGGCACCCTCACAGCCACTGCAGCCTCGGCTTTCTGGACTCAGGGGATCCTTCTGCCTTGCCTTCCAAATAGCTGGAACCACAGGCATGCGCCACCACACCCGGCTAATATTTTGGTTTGTTGTAGAGACAAGGTCTTGCCAAGTTTCCCAGGCTGGTCTCAAACCCTTGGGCTCAGGCAATCCTCTCACCTCTGCCTCCCAAAGTGCTGGGATTACAGGCGTGAGCCACTGCGCTCTCGGCTGCTTGTTTTCTTGAGTCATGGTGAGAATCTGACTGCCTCCTCCCCCCACCTGCTATGGCTGCACTTCACCTCACCCTCCTGCTTCCTGAAGGAGGCACATGGTGATGGCAGAGCACCTGAAGCTTTGGAAATGTCACCTCTTACCAGCAGGGAAAAGAAAGCCCAGTGCAGTGTGATGCCCTAGACTGTAGACTCTGAAGCCAGATTACCCAGGCTCAATCCTGGCTTTGTTCTCCATGAATCTTGTGACTTTGGTGAAGTGACTTAACCCTGTGCCTCAGTTTTCTCATCTGTAAAATGGGATGATGATAATATTATCTTCCTCATCTGGTTGTACAAGGAATTAATGAATTGATATTAGAACATGCTTGTGACCTCACCTGGCATATAAGTACTGGACATTTGTTAAGTAAACAGGGAGAGGAGGATTTCAGGTGTACCTGTCGTGTGGCAGGTAACATACTCACAAGCAATCCTCACTCTATGTACTGAAGACATATCCCCATTTTAGAGTTAACAGAGGCTCAGAGGCCAGGAAGTGGCAGAGCCTGGATTAGAACCTGGGTCTCCCGGCTGCCAAGCCTAGAAATCTCTCCTGGCACCCCAGGTGCCTCTCTCTCAGGGTCCCCACACCTCAGTGCCTAAGCAGAGATGGGCAGGCCTCCAGATCTCGCTCCTGCTGTAGCCCACAGCTGTGTTTTGTGTGTCTAGGTGAAGGTGCCCCCTCCCCCAGGGTTTCTAGCATGTCTGTTATCAACATCCCAGTACGGCTGCCAGGCCAGGGCCTTTGGGGGGGGTGCTCCAGCACTAATGGTACAAGACACCATGGGGAGGGGGGTGAGGAGACCAGGAGCTGACAGACATCACTTTGTTCTAAATCCCTGTCTCACGGCTCACTGGTGGCGTCTGAAATTTCAGCTCCTTCATTATTTCTTTCCTCTGCGGCACATTTTCCAGCCCAGAAACGCAGCAGCCAGAGAATAAACATAATGAGCTCCTCTCTTGGCGTCGCTGGGGCCCTCTTTTTTTCCAGGGCGATGCTCCTTCCAGGACAGGCGCTTCTCAATGCTGCCTCGGTGACTGGGGGCACTGGGGTATTTTAATGAGACTTGGAGGGTTACACTCCCATCTGTTTCTCGAGCCTATGAATTATAGACCCTTTCTCTGGCCAGCGGGTCTATCTCTCCTTTGTGCCACTGTCCCTTAGATCATCGTGTCATCGTGGCCGGTGCACAAAGGGCCTTTTGCAGGGCTCCACGCGGGGTGAGGGGGAGAGGAAAGTAGATCCTGTAACCTGAGGCTGTGTGGGAATCATTCTGCCTGAGTTTCTGGGCGGGTTCCCCTTAGGAACAGGACAGAGAACGTTACTCAGAGGAGCCTGGGGGGAAACGGTTGCATCCCTTGACCTGTCTGAGTTTCATGTTTCTGGGGAGACCTCATGCACGCAGGCAGCTAGGAGAAGATTCTGGAAGTTAGAGCAGGGGCATGTTCAGATACAGCCTGGCTGGGCTAAAGACAGGTGAGCCTGGAGCCCCTGTAGAGGCCTTGAACCCTTTAATAAGATCCAGTCCTAGGGCTCCATCTCTCTGTGCTTGTCTCCTCCTGGAAATACTTGAGTTTTTTGTTGTTTTGGGGTTTTTTTGAGTTGGAGTCTCACTCTGTCACCCAGACTGGAGTGCAGTGGCTGCTCCTGGCCACGGCAGCCTCGACCTGCTGGGCTCCAGCGATCCTTCCGCCTCAACCTTCCAAGTAGCCAGAACTACAAGCACACACTACCACACCCGGCTAATCTTTGATTTATTGTAGAGATGAGGTCTCGCCAAGTTGCCCAGGTGGGTCTCGAACCTGTGGGCTCAGGCAGTCCACTAGTCTTGGCCTCCCAAAGTGATGGGATTACAGGCTGAGCCACCGAGCCCGGCCGTTTTTTGTTTTTTGTTTTTTTCCAAGAATATCCTGTCTTAACCTATGCCCTCTGCCTTGCGCAGGGCAGCCTGTGCTATAAAACTTGCTGTGTGTTCTAGACCGGAGATGATTCTCTGTGCCTTGGTTGTCCTAGCTGTAAAATGGACAGAGTAATCCCTGCCTTCGTCTGGGACTTGGGGGCTCCAACAGGTGGCAAGGATCCAGAGAGGGCAGGATGCAGGGGACTACAGCCAGGCTTGGCCAGACGCCCTTCTTTCTGCTTCCAGACACCCAAGAAACAACACTTGTCTGTCAGAGAGACCTGACATCAAATCCCAGCAACACTGTTTATTAGCTCAAGCAAGTCTCTTTACCTCAGAGTCTCAGTTTCCTCATCTGATTAACAGACAAAAATCAACAAATTTCTGGTTGTTGTGAAAAATAGTCCAGCTGCTTTCGCCAAATTAAACATCTCCAGAGTTCTTTGGCAAGCCCAAATTAGACGTCTCCAGAGTTCTTCAGCCAGCCCCCTATCACCATGCCTTTTTGAGCACCCCGCCACTCCTCTTAGGTGCCTGAAAAGAGTGAGATCTTCATCCAAGAGTGGCAGGGAAACATTCCCGGCGACAGTGAGAGAGTGTCGCAGAGGGTGGGAGTTGCCCCAGGACTCCTCAGAGACTGTGTGCCCACCCAACCCCTATCCCCCGGGCCCATAAGGAGTCCAGCGTGCATCCTCACACGGACAGCAAGTCTCCACAAGGTTAGCATGTGTGGCTTGAATTAAGCCCCCAGCTGACTTGCACTGGTCTTGGATCCAGTCTCTGCTTTGCAACCCTGTGGTTGTTAATTGAGGAGCTTCAGAATTGATCCCCAGGGCCGAGGTGCCTGGTGGAGCCATAGTGCCCAGCAGGGGGCGATCTCCCACCCTCTGTGACACTCTCTCATGTATCTGTATCCAGGGCTGGCCCCGCAGACCCCAGAGTCCCATCTCCCCGTCCTCTCTGGCCTAAGCCCTGAAAAGAGGGATCCAAGCAAAGTACTTAGGGTTCAGACCTAACTAATGATAGCGATTGCAGCTATCACTTGAGCACTTACTGGATGCCCCACACTGGCTGGCTTTGCACACACAAGTTCACTTAATTCTCACAGCAACCACAGTATTCCCCATTTTATAGATGAGGAAAACTGAGGTTCAGAGAGGTTTAGAGACTTGCCCAAGGCATGTAGTCAGCAAGCATAAAAGAAGGAACATGCGCCCAGGACTTCTGATGCCCAAGCCCTGTGCTCATTCACTGTTCTCTGCTTGCTCACAGAATAGAAATTCAGAGGTCAGGGCCGTGGCAGAGTTAAAATGTTCATCAAGTTTCCTCAGAGTGGAAAAAAAGAGATCATGTGTGTGTCGGTGATGTGAGCTCGGGTCAGGAGTCACGGAAGGTCCCACCCCGACTCAGTTACGGTGTCTCGATGGTTAACAGAGACGGGGGAACCCGCTTCCTAGGGGCAGGTGGGACAAAGTCCAGGCATGAGCGACTTCAAGCTGGGTGCAAGGCCACCCCTTGCATGGATCCCAGAGCCAGTGGGGTGAAGGGGTACCAGAGTGAGGGCACAGGGTCCGGGTTCTACTCCTAGCCCTGCTACCACTCACTGTATCCCTCACTCTTGGTTTTTTCATCTGTAAAACGGGGGAGAAAGACTGCTTAGAAATTTCTATCTTGGGCTGGTTGTGACAGGGTACTAGGGCACACGTCCAGGTTTACTCTAGGGGATGGCATGGCTACCATTCCCTTTTTCTGGAGAGTAGGCGGGGAGCGTGCGGCGTGAGCCTTCTCAGCCACTGCCACACCCTCTTCCTGGTCCCCATCCCCTCTCCATGCTTTCAAGGTAGGGGATGAGATCGTTCGGATTAATGGCTATTCCATCTCCTCCTGTACCCATGAGGAGGTCATCAACCTCATTCGAACCAAGAAGACTGTGTCCATCAAAGTGAGACGTGAGTGAGGTCCTGGTGGGGTGGGGAGGGCTCCATGGTGGGGTGGGGCAGACAGCGGGAGTGCCAACCTCTGGGGAAGAGGGAACCATACTAACTCCCTGCCTCTCTCCTGCAGACATTGGCCTGATCCCTGTGAAGAGGTAAGTAAGGCCCTCTTGTGCAAGTCGATTCTCCCCTGTGAGCCCTGGAGTCCTGGTGTCCGCCTGAGGTCTGGCTACCAACATGCCAGTGCTGTCCCTGGGCCAGTGGAGGTGGGAAGCTCTGGATATGACTGGTCTGGACTTAGGGCCTGGTCCTGCCAACGTCTCTTGCTAACAACCTTTCATCTATCTCCCTTCCCGTCAGCTCTCCCGACGAGCCCCTCAAATGGCAGTATGTGGATCAGTTTGTATCAGAATCTGGGGTAAGCGCCAGGACCACCTGTGGTGGGTTTGGGAGGGTGGTCTTCAAGGAGAGGTATCAGGTCTTGAAGGGAGGGTTTGCTCTGGGGACATGCTCTCAGGGGTTTCACATGGGCCCCCAAGACATCCAGCACACCCCTGTGGGGCAGTGGGCCCTCAGCCAGGCCAGACTGGGCAGACGCATCCCAGGGACAGAATGGCCATGCCGATATGCCACTTGCACACATGTGGACACCCAGCGACCCTGCCTCTGTCTCTCTTCCAGGGCGGGCGAGGCAGTGTGAGCTCCCCTGGGAATCGGGAAAACAAGGAGAAGAAGGTCTTCATCAGCCTGGTGGGCTCCCGGGGCCTTGGCTGCAGGTGGGTATAGGCACATCCTAAGGTCGTTCATGGCCCATAGACTCCAGCAGGCCACACCTTTCCCCTTCCTCACTGCTGCTTCTGAGGAGACACTTGCCCGCCAGTGATGTGACTTACCCACTGGTAATGACACATTTGATGCCTGATTTCTCCTGTGAGCCTCACAGCAGCCCTGCAGGACCAAAAGGACAATTCTAACAGGTCCCATTTTACAGATGAGAAAATTGAGGCCCAGACACAGAGCCATGTTCCTTTGGTGGGCCCTTGAGTCACTGCAAAAGAGGCTTGTTTGGCTGGTCATCTTTGCCACAGATCCCTTGTCACTTATTACCTTGTAGGCTTTCTTGAGGGGCGGTCAGGGAATTCCAAACACACACTAGGCCACACAGGGTGTTCTTGTTAAACATGTGGGTTCTATAATCACTCAGATCCCAGTTCTAGCATTGTTCGGCCACTTATGAGCTCTCAAACCTTGGACCGGTTACTTAACCACCCTGAGTCTCCGTTTCTCTCTCTTAAGTTGAGGGTAATAATTCCCACATTACACAGTGGTTGTGGAGAAAATAAAACTCCAGGCTTAAAGCCTGGTAGGTATTAAGCAGTTGGTAAATATTTGCTATTCTTATTTAAGTTGTTCTTAATATTTCTTTTCATTCACATTTATTCAACACTTTTGTGCCAAGCATAAGTGATAAAATGTCTCTCCTTTCTAGGAGATGACAGCCTAATATAGAAGTCAACCACATAAATAGTTTTAATACAGGATGACAAGGAGCTACATTATGGGTTAGGGCTGGCAAATAGGTTTCCTATCTGTGCCATTTCTAGTCACTTAGTAGTGGCTGCCTGAGGTACTCTTTTGAAAAGGATTCTAAAGCTGCTTCCTAATTTGGTGGGAAAGAGTGCTGTGATCAATTAGTGATGTCTGCCACAGGTCTAGGCAGTAAGGATAACAGTACAAGCGCCATCCTTGTGGTGGATGTTATAGGCACACCAAGAATGGAGCAACTAATTTAGTCTTGGGATAGAATAAGGGGTCTGGTGAAAACCTCATAGAGGAGATAGACTTTGAGTCTTAAGGAATAAACAGGAAAGAGCTAGAAAGAGAGCAGAAACAGCATTTGCAGTATGTTGGGTGAGGGGCTGGGTAGGGGGAGTTGCAAAGCATTTTCTGGGGCTGTTGTCCAGGGTAGCAGTGGAAATGAGGGTAGATGGGAAAACAGAGGCTGAGGAGGTAGACAGTGCTGGAACTGTGCCAGGCACATAGTATATCTTAGATTCGGGGCTCATGGGAAGCCTGTGTTGTAAGCACCGGGCAATGGGCAGAGGGGGCAGGGCACTGAGGAACAGCAAATGCTGCAGGAATGGGTGGTGAAGACAGGGCCTCACCACATTCCCCGCCTCCCACAGCATTTCCAGCGGCCCCATCCAGAAACCTGGCATCTTCATCAGCCACGTGAAGCCTGGCTCCCTGTCTGCCGAGGTGGGGCTGGAGGTGAGCGACCCTGGGCCAACCCCTTGGGAGCATGTGGGGGCAGGGTGGGCTGTGGTCCCACAGTGGTGGAGGCATGTGCCTTCCCACATAGCCCTCTCCCGGTGGTCACTGAGTGATGACTCTTACCCACCCCCCACCGAGGGAAGGCTTCACAGAGTGGGGACGTTCGACTCCTTTGCATCTTCTCCAGCTCTGAAAGTCATTGGTCCTGAGCTTGGGAATGTCATGATAGTGATCATGGAATTAACATGCAGTGAGTGACAACTTGTACCAGACATCATTCTACACCCTTTACATATCACAAGAACCCTGAAGATTAGGCACTTTTGTTATCCCCACTTAGCAGATGGGGTGATAACTACCCCCACCCCAGGGGGGGTGAAATGAGGGAATTTATTCTCTCTGAGACCCAGAGAAAGTATGTGATTTTTTTCCCCCAAGATCATGTATGATATGGCTGGGATTCAAACCTAGGTGGTCTGATGCCAGAGAGGGACTCTTAACCTCTTCTTTGGACAAGATACTGAATTTCTCTGTGCTTCAGTTTCCTCATCTGTTAAATGGGGATAACAGAGTTTTCCTTCTAGGGTTGGCATGTGAATTAAATTAACTAATGCATATGTTAGACTGTGCCAGGCACACAGTAAGTGATCAATGAGTTTTAGTTATTCTATTGTGAAGGTGATTCAACACTGCCTCTGCTGTTTGAGAAGCCCAAAGGTTCCTTTATCTACAGATTTCTAAAGCAAATGTCATCAATTTTGCCAAAGAAATGAACCTCTAATGGTGTAATATTTGATCGCTGATACAATAGTTATGGGGTAGAGGAATGCCAGGGTGAGCCTGAGACCCCCCTCCCCAGGGCCCCATCAGGGCTTTCCATCTGTTCTGCTCATAGGAAGAGTTGAGATGCAGCCATTTGAAGACCCAGCGCCTGATCCTAGACCCCTGGGGAAGCCCGTCCTGCAGATGAGTGAGTGTTTGAATACTGCAAACACACTCACCTTTCTCCATTTCTCCCCCAGACAGGGGACCAGATTGTCGAAGTCAATGGCATCGACTTCTCCAACCTGGACCACAAAGAGGTGAGATGTGGAGGGTCCCTGTCACCTCTCCATTCCACTCCTCAACCCTGCTGCTATGGTGCCCGAGACCGTCTGTGCTCTGCCTGGGCTGCGCCGGCCTGTCAGGCTCAGCCCACTGTCCTCCTGTCCCCACAGGCCGTGAACGTGCTGAAGAGTAGCCGCAGCCTGACCATCTCCATCGTGGCTGGAGCTGTGAGTCCAGAATGAGCTGGCGGGCCCCCATAACCCCTGACCTCCAGCCCCAAGCTCCCTGAGCCCTGGTCTCTGCCACAAACTCCCAGGAAAGGCCAAGGGGTCTCCTTCCCTGAAGCTCCAGTGGAACAGAGGGAGTGGACTTCGGCCCTGCAAGGAGAAGTTTGACTCAGACACCGCAGGGGCCACATTGCCCGGTGGTGCTGAGGAGACAGCCGCGTCTCAGCCCCCAAGGCTGTGGCAGTGGCCCCCATGTTCCCAGTGGCTGAGCAAGGGCCTCTTTTCCCCCTGAGGGCCGGGAGCTGTTCATGACGGAGCGAGAGCGGCTGGAGGAGGTGCGGCAACGCGAGCTGCAGCGGCAGGAGCTCCTAATGCAGAAGCGGCTGGCCATGGAGTCCAACAAGATCCTGCAGGAGCAGCAGGAGATGGAGAGGCAGTGAGTGTAGCCAGCCCTGCTGCCCGCCTGACGCCTCCCTACTGCACGACTCCCCTTCCTGCCCTCTGCGCGCCAGGGCGACTGCGTCCTCTTCCCCAGGGCCTGTCCTTGGATCAAGTGGGTCCTGGTGGGTCAGGATATTCATCCTCTGCCTCAGACCACCAGGCCCCTTCCTCCTTGCTGAGAAGAGCCCCCCAGTTCCCAGGATTCCAAGATGGTGGAAAATAAGGATCCCGACAGCCATAACAGACGTGTCAAGTGCCTACCGTGGGGCTGGTGTTGTATCAGGGCCTTATGTTTTTTTGTTTGTTTGTTTTTGAGTCAGAGTCTCACTCTGTCACCCAGGCTGGAGTGCCGTGGCTCACTCATGGCCACCGCAGCCTCAATCTGCTGGGTTCAGGTGATCCTTCTGCCTCAGCTTTCCAAGTAGCTGGAATGCCAGGTGCATGCCACCATGCCAGGCTACTTTTTTGATTTATTGTAGAGACAAGGTCTCACCAAGTCACCCAGGCTGGTCTTGGACCCCTGGACTCAGGCAATCCTCTCGCCTTGGCCTCCCAAAGTACTGGAATTTCAGGCTTGAGCCACCATGCCCGGCTTTTGTGTATCTTTAATTTAATTCCCTCATAGCCCTGGGAGGTAGATGCTATTAGCCCCATTTACAGGTGAAGAGACAGGCTCAGAGGGGGAAAACCACTTGTGTCCAAAGTCACACATGGCCAAGCCAAGATTCATGCCCAGGCAATCTGGCTCAAGAACCTGGCAGTCCCCATAGGGCCACCTGCTTGGAGTGATAACAACCCCCGCCCCACAGGGGTTGAAATGAGGGACTAAGAGAATAAATGGGGTGAGCAATTTATAAATAAAAAGCACTGTCAAAATCCAGGTCCAGATGCATTCTAGGCACTTAAGGTATCTAGGAAAGGAAGGATCTCCTGTCCCCCCCATCCTCCCCCATGCAGAACTGGCCTTGAAAATCCTACTTACTTAGCAGCCCCAGATCATCCAGGCCCAGCATGTCATCAGTGACTTCATGGAAGTCTTTGGAGCAGGATGTGTGGGGTGTGGTCCTCACATGGACCTGCCTCCTGGCTCCCGAAGCTCAGAGTCTGTGCTCAGCAATGCCAGAGAGAACCACACGAGAGCACAGGGTCCAGACTTTTGTTGGTTAATTTCCTCAAAACTCAAAGCTGGTCTAGGCATTCTTAGAAAAGAGCCTGAGAAAAAAGCATGTAAAACCTTTCTCTACTTTGAGAGGCAAAGGAAGAATTGCTTGAGGCTAGGAGATCAAGACCAGCCTGGGCAATATAGCAAGACTTCGTCTCTACAAAAAACAAAATTACAGAATTAGCCAGGCACAGTGGTGCCTGTCTGTAGTCCCAGCTATTTGGGAGGCTGAGGCAGGATTGCCTGAGCCCAGGAAGTTGAGGCTGCAGTGAGCCATGATTATTGTGATACTGCATTCCAGCCTGGGCAACAGAGTGAGATCCCAATCAAAAAACAAACAAACAACAACAACAACAAAAAACACTTTTCTCACATCAGGAATTAGCCATAAGGAAGAGTTAACTTCTGCATAGACTCAAGCATGCCAACCTGAATTTGCATTTCAGAAGGAGGAAGGAAATAGCCCAGAAGGCAGCTGAGGAGAATGAGAGATACCGGAAGGAGATGGAACAGTGAGTACATCAGTGCAGTGTGTGTGTGTGAGCACATGCGTGTTTGTGCATGGACACCAGTGTGCTCCCAGAAGTGTGACCAGCTAGAGGCTACCTCCACAATCAGCTTACCCGCCCCCCTGGTGGGTCCTCCCTGATTTGTAGCCATCTCCTAATCCTAGCAAAGCCCATCGTGTTAGAGGAGCCCAAACATGGTCTTGTGTAATCTCAAGGTGGTGTCCACACTCCGTGTAGAGTGCTGGCCCAGGGACCTTGCTGGATTCACAATAGCTGGGAGTATGAACTTCTCCCTGAGCTGATGGGAGTTCAGGTTCTGGCTCTAACCACAGGCATGGGGTCTCATTTCAGGATCGTGGAAGAGGAAGAAAGATTTAAGAAGCAGTGGGAAGAAGACTGGGGCTCAAAGGAGCAGCTACTCCTGCCTAAAACCATCACGGCTGAGGTGCACCCTGTCCCCCTTCGCAAGCCAAAGTGTATGTACCCTGCACAGAGGAAGGCTGAGAGGGCTCGATGGGAATGCTGGCCTCCTCCTACTCACTACTACCTTCCCAGTGGCTAGCCCATGACACTCTGGGCTTCAGGTCCTTCATGGAAGGGGAGCTGTGTGTTGGGGCCTCTGCCCCTGGGTCGGGATGGGGAGGGATCTGTCTGCCGTCCTTGTCCGGGGACTGGCTTCACACAGGCCTCCGCAACACAGGCATCCTGCCGGGCAGCCAAGGAGGGGACAAGGGCCGTGGCAAAAGCGGAACTAACGCTCGTGGGATTACTGTCCTAGTGTCTGGGATGCTGTTTCCTCCTGCTTGGTTCTGAGCTGGGCCTGGGGTGAAGCCAGCAGCAAGAGAGGAAGGAGCTTGCATTAGGAAGGGCCCTGGTGGTCCAAGGTTGATAGGCAGCTATGGGAGGAGTGGGCCTGAAGTGCCCCCAGTTCCTGTGGCCACTCCAAGGTGGAAGCAGAGACAGGACTGAGAGGTCCATCCAAGGCACCCTGTGGTGCCCTCCTGGGACCCCAGCTCCTGCAGCTCTGGCCATCTCTTCTCTTCATCTGTCCTGTGTCCTCACCTCCAGCCTCCGCCAGGCCTCCTGCATCCATTTCCTGTCCACCTTCTAAACCCCATCTCCAGATGTCTCTTCAAGAGGCAGCCCACCCTGCCGAGGACAACGAAGATCTCGGTCTCAGTGCTTCATCGGTGGGCTGGTAGGGGCTCCGAGAGCAAGGCTGTAGAGTTGATTCCCTCTTTACAGAGGTTTTGATTTATAACTGGTACAGACCTGAATCTGCTCCAGTTAATTGTACTCAGCTGACCTGGGAACCTTTAGAGAAGGGGTGAATTCAGACTCAAGGACCAAGAGCCCTCATCTTGTTTGTCATTTGGGATGCCCTGTCCCCAACTTTGGGACATACCTGAGCCCCACAAGGTCATCAACTCACCCACACAGGCCACTTAGACCAAGGAAGAGGTGCCGAGCATCTGGGTGGTACTATTTCACTCCTCTCTGGTGCAGGGCAAATAGCTCCCAACACATTCCTTCCTGGCAACAGGACAGTGTCATCCCCTGGTCCTCTTGGAAGGACAAAGCACTCTCTCATCAGCTCCCTCCCTTCATGACATTCCGTATTAGTTGAGGATGTGGTTGGAGCTGAATTTCCAGTGAATAATCCGTGTTTTAGACGGGCAGCTAATTTGCTCTTATGAGTGAAATAGGAGCTTCAGAAGGAGAGAAATCGATTTTAATTGCTTCTCGTGAAAGTAATCCTTGTCAATTCAATACCTTCCTAGAAACTGGGTCTCGGCTACACAGCAAACACACACTCTCAGGAACTATGGAAAATAAAAACCCCTTCACTAACTTGCTATTTATTTAGTGCTTTTTAACCGAATCAAACTCCTTGAATAAAAGGAGCAAGAACTTTGCCTTTGCACAAGATAAATGTTCTCTGAGGCGGTGCCTCAAAGTGCAGCTGCTGTCTCCATCCATCTCTGTGTGTGCCACAATTTAATTCTAATTTGGACCTAAGTCAGGAGTGCAGTGAGGTCTCTGCCAGCTCTGTGCCTGCCTCTCTCCCCATTCCCAGATGCTGGAACCATCTGGGCTATGTGCAGCCTGCAGGCCCAGGTCCCAGCTAGTTCCTCCCTGACCACCCTTCAACTCTAGGACCTGGTTAGCCAAGGGGTTACACCTCACTCAACCTCCCGTGCCTGCAGGGGTGGGGCCTGCACTTCTTTTCCTTTTTTTGAATTGGAGTCTTACTCTGTCGCCCAGGCTGGAGTGCAGTGGCAGGCTCACGGCCACCGCAACATCAACCTGCTGGGCTTAGGTGATCCTTCTGCCTCCAAGTAGGATCACAGGCCACTTAGACTTTCGCCTTCCAAGTAGCTGGAACTACAGATGCACACCACCATGCCTGGCTAATTTTTTGATTTATTGTGGAGACGAAGTCTCACCGAGTTGCCCAGGCTGGTCTTGAACACCCCGGGCTCAGGCAATCCTCTTGCCTTGGCCTCTCAAAGTGCTGGGATTACAGGCTGAGGCACCTTGCCCAGCCCGCCCCGCATTTCTTGACAAACAGGAAAGTGTGGAGCATCCTTCACCTGGAAAATGAAGTCAGTCATCCTAAGGGTATGCATGGGACTGTCTCCATCCATCTTTGTCTGCCTCAGGAGACTATTATTCCTTCTGCCCACCTATTCATGGCTGAGCCAGCAGAACATTCTGCTGCACCCGCCCTCGAGGCCAGGACACTGCCACAGAGGCACTACCTGAGACCTTTCTTTAGACTAGGCAACAGGGTGGGAATGGGGGATGGGGGTCTTTATTAAGGATCCAGAGTTGGAAGGATTCTTGAGAGATGAAGAGGTTTAAACGAGAAATCTTCAACCTTCTCTCCCCATCCAGGGCTCCATCAATAACCTTCCCCCCTCCGACCACAATAGATACCATGGTTTGGAAGTTAAAGGTTTTTTTCCTACCACATTGTTAAGTAATCATTTGCATTCCTGTATTTTTATTAGCAAGTCCCTCTTGTTAGCAAGGGTGCATCAGTAATCCACTGCTGGATACATGTAATTTGAGTCAAGAGCAGTGGAAATTAATATATAGCCTTTGCAGAGACCTGTGGGCAAGTTCTTCAAAACTTTTGAAATATTAAAAAGCAGCTCATAAGCAGACTCATATTCTACCTTCTAGAGTCCCAGGGAGGCCCGAGTCTAGGCTGGAAACTACTGGAGTGGTTTGCTCTTCTCTCCACATTACATAAAAATTCATGTCTCCCTAACCCACACACACCCCCTTTGGGGTCTCTTCAGCTCCTCAGGACCCCATACTGCTCAGATATCCTTTGGGATCCGAGCTCCAGGCAAGGGCAGTAAGCAGAGGCAGGACGATCTTCTCTCCCACTGTAAGCTCCGGCCCTCAAACATGTATAACACCCAAATATCCCCACCCCTACCACCACCACCAGCCTTTAGCCTAACGCCCCGCAAAGTTACTCCTGCTACCATCAGATCAGAGGCCCCTGTTACTACCCCATTGTACAGACAGAAAAACTGGAGCTACCAAGGTTGTAAGTGCTGCTTCATTTGCTCTGGGCTCCTGAGCCCTGGCCCTGCCCTGACCGCACAGCTCTGCTGGAGGAAGCTAGTCACTGGTCCCCAGGCTCCTGGGAAGCCTCTCGGTCTCCGAGTCTGTCTTGGTTCACCAGCCCCCTCCTCTTTTCCTGGGTAGATGATGGGGGAGTGGAACCCGAACTTGAGCCGGCAGACACCCTGGACAGAGGCACGGAGGAGCAGGGACGGCAGGTTTGCACCCCCGCTTCGCCGCCTGGCCTGGCTGCTCTGCTTGCCCTGCCCGCCTCCTCCCAACAGCAGTCATGCAGCTCCATGGAGCCAGCACGTGGTGGGGACCCCTGGAATCCATGAGCTCCTCCAGGCTTGGCACAAGCCCTGTACTCTAAACCTTGAGGACAGGGCTCGGCGAGGCTGGTAGATCAGCTGGTGCACACCAACTGAGCCACAGATTCAAATGTGCAGATACTGCTCATATCCAAGTCCCCCCACTGCTGCTCTGACCTCTCCCCCAGGACTCCCTGATCCAGCAGCCAAGGAGTTAGTGTCTGTCTTTCGGCAGCCTGTTACAGCACTCGATCTGGTCAAGGGTAGGCAATTATTTAAGCCATCACCCCCAGCCCCAAGGAGCTTTAGATTTGGGGTATTTCGGTCAAACTGTTGCCTGGGGAAGGAAGAGCCTGGGGCCCTGGATACATTTTGCTGAGGGTACTGCCCACTGCTGCCAGAGCTGTCCTTCCCAGATCTGGCCCAGCCACTGCCTTCTCTTTCAGTGTTGAAAGCAGAGGGTTTGGCCTGAACTATGAGACAAGACATTTTTGTTCTGTCTAACAGCAGTTCTAGGCAGAGGCCCAGGCTCTCTTTTGTCCTGAGCCATTTCTTGGATGGAGGGACCAGACATCGGGTAGAGAGGCCTCGTTCTCTTTCAACAGGGCTTTGTGTTTGGAGACAGTGGCTGTGGTTTGGAAGTGCTCATCCTTCCACGGGGATTTTCTCTTTGATTTTCTGGCGCTGACTTCTGAAGCCAGTGTCCCGGGGAGAGGCATTTGAGAGTGACCCAGAGTCTGGGAATTGGGGCTTTTCTCAGGTGGTCTTGGGCCTACTTGGCAACCCAGGTGAGGCCAGGTAAGCAGAGAGGCGGACAAAGGGTGCAGTCTTGCTGTTGGATCTGATCGCTTTCCTCAGGAGCCCAGCCGCTACCCGTGGACGCTCCGGTTGAGAGCTGGATTATGTCTTACCATTTCGTTCTCTCCATTCTCATAGCCTTTGGGTGGTTTTATCGTTATGATGGCAAATTCCCAACCATCCGGAAGGTAGGACGGGACTTAGTTCCATGCCGGTTTGCTGCTGAGTTTGCTGTGGGTTTTCACCTTCTCCAAATGTTTCTTGACCTGTCAACTCTAAACGGTGTGACCTGTCCCGTACACTTGGAGGGCTAACCCCATCTGCATCTCTGTGTCAGGCTGGCATCAAATGGCAGGGTGCATCATGGCAGAGGCATCATGGGGGGAAGCATTCACGGCATGAGATCTGCCCTGGTGGGCAACAGGACAGGGGCAGGAAGCTTCTGTTTTGTCTCTCTGTCAAGTAGAACTAGAGGGCAAGACCAGAAGCATGGAGTCAGACAGAGTGAAGTATCAGGGTAGATGTACACAATGCAGGTTATTAGATTGATTGTGCCTAACACAGACCAGCTGCCCAGGCGGGAATTTGCTGCCTGGGTGGGGACAGAGTCACACCAATCACAGCCCTTGCCTGGAAATAACTCTGCATGTACCCAGGATAATGCGTTTTTCTGGTCTCTTGGGCCTTTAATTTTCTCTCTAAATCTTATTACAGTATCTCTAGGCCCCATAAAACACTCTTGTCCTTTGTCTTTCTAAATCACTTGGACATTTGATTATGAAAACACTGCTGTTAATATCTGTAATTGGACATTTGAGATGACTTGGTATTTGGAAGTCAGGCATCAGCATAAATCTGGGAGAGCTAAATTGGATGTTATCCCTCGACTGGCTCTTTCTGGCAAAATGTCCGTCCCCCAGAAACCAAAGCACTGGCAGCTGGGGGACCTTGATGATATGTAACTTCTCCCTGCCTATAAAGTGGAGATATTAGCTGTGCTGGGAAACTCATCCCCTTCCTTTAGCACGTGACTGTTAAGATAACAGACAGCAATATTTTTCCCGACAGAGGTGAACATGTTTACCTGGGAACATGATTTGTGCAGCATTGAATAAACTTAGAACAGAGCTCCTCAGGGGATCCCTTCCCATGCTGTCATGGCCTCAGAAAGGACTTGGTCTCATGAGACTGTCTTTTTCATTGCCAGGCTGGTTCTGTGGCTTAGCATGTCTCATTGGGTTAGGTTTATAATTCTTCTCTACAGATTACCTCTACTAGAACTCAACAAGAGAGGACGAAACACACACACACAATCACACATAGGATTTTACTGAAAAAAATAGTAAGAAAAGGACACAGGTCTGATCTTTTTCAGGCACTAATGACATGTAAATGTAAAAGAACTAGAATCTTCTCCACACACACATACCCTGATCAGAAAACACATCCCTGGAGATTGTAGGTAGTGAGAAGGTGGGCTGCTTTTCCTCTGTTCCTTAGTCCAGTCATTCCAGAAACAGCAGGCATTGTGGTTCTCATTTTTATTTCCTAAAGAGAGAAAAATTGCTTCCAGGTAGAAGCAAGGACACAGTCACTCCCTCTGCTTCTCCTCTCAGTTTGGGCCAAGAGAGAGATTGCCATGAATGTGGCTGAGTTAAAAGGACAATGGAATCCTGTCCCTTATTCTGGCTCTGAAGATCCATTATAATTATTTCCAGAGCCATGTGAATTGTTTTGTTTTCCAGCAGCTGAAACACTACGTCCCCAAGAAATATGAGTGAGTGTCCATGACCATGATCATCAAAGCACAAATTCCCCTTATTTAAAAAGATAAAGATGTAGTGTCTTCTGTTCTAACATTGGCAGTAAGTCCCTCTGGGGCTGCAGGTCCCCAGGCCTATGGCCCCATATAGTCTGTGCCAAGGCTTGAAGACTTCATGGTTCCTTTTTTTCCCCTTGAGTCAGGGTCTCACTCTGTCACCCAGGCTAGAGTGCAGTGGAACTGTCACGGCTCACCTAGCCTTGAACTCCTGGGCTCAGGTTATCCTTCCACCTCAGCTTTCTGAGTATCTGGGACCACAGGTGCGTGCCACCACATTCAACTAAATTTTTTATTTTTATTTTTTGTAGAGACAAGGTCTTGTTATGCTGTCTAGACCGACCTCAAACTCCTGGGCTCAAGCAATCTTCCTGCCTTGGCCTCCCAAAGTGCTGGGATTACAGGCATGAGCCACCACACTCAGCCAAGGATTCACGGTTCTAACTAAGCCCTTTCACCAGAAGTGCTTGAGTCATTCTTGCAGACCAGCCCTGTTTGCAGGATCTCACTGTCTGGCAGGGGAGACGGACTCACATACAGCTAAGTGAGCTGTATGAGGGGCTGGTCATATCAGTGGGCAACACTATGGGGCACCTTGTCCTCTACATATGTAAGCAGAAGTGACTTTCTTGGAGATGAGATGGAAACCACTGTCTGCCTGCCCCATCCTGGAACCCTGGCTCTAAAATCTTAGCACTGGTCACTTTTTTAAAAGCCAACAGAATGGTCATTCCTATCCTGGTGGTCCTTGGGAGAGGCCATGCCCTTATTCTAGCAAGCTGCCTTTAGAATGTTTCTGACTCCACTTGGGGAATTGCTGTCTGAATCTGTACCACGATGGCAGGGATTCATATGACAACTGTGTTAGAAACCAGTGAACAGGGTAGGCAGGGAAACAAGCAGGACTCTGATGCAGTGTAAACCATTTTCTCAAGAGGCTCATAGACTGCTCCGGAAGTGGGTCTCAGAGGTGACCATTTCCAAAGCGCATTTCAGTGCACAGAGGTGGAGGTTGTCTTTAGGAAGGGAGATAGGGTGAGTCCATCAGAGTTCCAGCATGACCCGCCAAGCCCTCCCAGCTGGGAATGAAGGTTGTATGTCCATTGCTGGGGAACGCTGTTCCTCATTCCTGGCCCTGGATGCTGAGATGATTTGGAAAATTCAAGAACAGGCCCTAAGAAGGCTTGTTGGGAGTAGGAGTGAGCTCGGTGAACAGGGTTCTCCTCCTTGCCCCCAAAATAGCCGAGAGTGTTGACTCTTTGCCTTCCTCTCCTGAGTGCTAGCTCTGTTCTCTGTGCTGTGCCTGATGGGACTGACAAGACCTCCTGCTGTGGCCCCTTTACCCCCAGCTCATCAGGGCACAGTAGAAAAGCTGTGGGACCCAGAAGACTCGGGTTCAAATCCTGGCACCATCACTTGCTAGATGTCCGACATCGGGCAGGGGACTTCACCTCTCTGAGCCTCAGCTGCTCATCAAAGAATGGGGATGCTTGCATAGAAGGTCATGGATGCAAGTCTCTTGACCTATGGATAGCCCATAAATGCTCATTCTCTTCCTTCCTTGGCCCTGGCTTCCCTGCAACCCCGTTAGAGAAGCAACTGGGAAAGCAGGCTCTATGAGTCCAATGTCTGCTCTTCATCTCCCTCCCGAAATCCTCACAAGTCCTACTGGCCAGTGCAAAGCAGTTGGGCCATCCCCCAACCCCCTCTCCCAGTCCTGCAGGTTCTGGCTAGTTCTCAGCTGAGGGCTCAGCCCAGTGGGAACTGTGGGTTTAGACTCTCTAGACGTGGTCTAAAACTGAAGCATTGGGGCAAAATCTAATGTTCCTGGCTCTAAGCCCCAGGTCCGAGTGTGACTCCTATCCCCTCTAGCTCAGGACAGAGGGTTTCTGCAGATGAGCCTTGCCAGTGCTCCTAGATTTTTCTCTAGACTCTCCCAGGATGCACCTCTGATATCTGAACATGAGATGATGCAGAAGACATTGTGTCAGATACTGGGAAATAAAACAATGCCTTTTATTTATGCAGCACTTTGAAGTTTACAAGGCTCTTTCATAAATGCTGTTTCTTTGGCACCAGATGGCAAGCCTGTAAGACAGGTATTTCCACCATTTTGGAGATGAGGCAGATCAGGCTCAGAAAGGTTAAGGAACGTAACCAATGTCACATAGCTAGTGAACGAGTGAGCCGGTTCTCCTGGCTGGTGACGGGAATGCATCTCCTGCTCCACAATGGGTAGCAGTGGCCTGCCTGTCCTAAACCTGAGGTCCGATGTCCAGTGCAATGGGGC